GCCACAAACAGGGCGCCAGCCCAAGATGAGGCCTCACCCAACAGAGCAGGGGCAGCGGAAGCAGGATGCTAAGTGGTGCACCCGGGTCGTATTCGCGTGGGCCGCCCATGGGAGCTAGGCCAAAGCCGGGGCCTCGATTTGCGGCTGCCTGTGGAGGACGATGCGGCTCCAGGCCTGTTTGGCCGCGGATGCTGCGGGGCAAGGTAGGGTGAGTCCCAAGGATGCCGGATGCGGATGCGATGTGGAGGAGGGCGTGGCCTGCACTCGCCGGATAGAAGACGTGTTCTAAGCCTTACCCCGTTATTTTTTTTATTAAAGATTTGGCAGTGAGCCTGAGGCAGCCATCAAAAGACCCACATCTGGCTCGCAAGCCATAGGTTCCCGACCCCTGGCTTATACAATATTCCAATTATTGATACTTGAGGAGTATGTTCAGATATTTTTAACAGAATCAATTCGATTTTTACATCCTGGACTACATACTTTTCTGAATTTTGTGACATATTCTTAGAAAAAATATAACTAAAATAATATTTTGGCATGAAATGCTCACAAAATGTATAATCAGCAAAGTGTATAAATACCATTTTGTTAAGTTTTTAAATTAAAAATTATAGATTTATGCCAAATATGACAAAATGGAGTTATGAATGAACACATGGGTACAAGACACTAAACAAAATTAGAGTAATCCATCTAACCCTAATTCAGTTAATAATGCAAGATCTGGGAAAAAACAACATATATTTCCAGAGAATGTATTTTAGTACGATAATCATAAGTTATGAGATAGATTATTATAAACATGAAGGAATATTTCTCAGTAGGAACATGAGAATAAATTGGTAACGAATAGGTTTGAATGATTTGGCTTTTACAAGCAATTCTAGGAGATAAAACACACACTAAATGAAAAGCTGACAAGAAGGAAAGTTAAATTGCAATAAAACAAACAATATCTTATCTATTAGAATTAAACTCAGGAATACAGAAAAAATAGAAACAAACAGAACAAGACAGTTTCTTAAAAAAATTCCACAAGTATATATTAAAACCTTTGTATTGAGTTGATATCAAACATACATAGTTAAATCAAGTTTCAGTTGACTTAGTTCACTCTGGAATTAGTGGGGTTAAAGTATTCATGATTTCCTTTTCACACTGACTTCATTTAGATCTAAGATGGACTAAGTAAAAAGCCAACTTATACATGTGTAGCAGTTGACTATAGAGAGAGAGAGAAGATAACCAAAATGCTAAAGTATGAATGAAAAATGAAAAAAGTTATCTTGTCATTTAATAGTTATACTGTCATTAAATAATAATGATAACTGGATATTTTTTATTGTTTTCAATCCCTTTATCCATAGATTTGTGCATCTACGTGGCATTCTGAAGCCAGTTTATAATACTCAGGGCTGTTTGTAGATATGGTTAAAAAAAAAAAAGATGGTCGCAATGATGGTGCATTTGAAGCTCTGCTTGTTTTTATACCTGTTCTGTGGGTTTTGCATTGGCTTCCTATTAGCTTCCAAGTGCCATTTAAAGTGCTGATATTAACTTATAAAACCCTTTATGGTTTGGCATCTGGTTACCTGCAGGACAGCATCTTCCTACTCCCTTCATGCTGGGAGAAGATCTGGTTGTTCCCATTTTGGGGAGGTTAAGGGGGCCAAAGCTGGAAGTGCCATTTCTCAGTGATGGCCTCCCAGAATCACCTCCTGCTGGACATGTGTTTGTCTCCAAACTTGTCTGCCTTCCAGACAAAGACTGAAGAGGGAGCTTTTCCTGAGGGCTTTTGGGGCCTAATGCTATATATTTTGTTTGGGTTTTAAGCTTTTTATATCTGTTGTATTTTATCCTTGGTAGCCAGCAAGAGTACACATTTAGTAAATACATAAATGTGTGTCACACATGAAACACCCATACAAAACAGGTGGCACTTTGATTGTACCATCATGACCACCATCTTCTTTTCTGATCATACCTTATGGTCATCCCTCATAATACTGTTAAATTACATTATATGGGTATTAAGGTGCTGCCATCTTGTTCTGAACCAGCATTCCCTGAACTGGGGCCCTCCAGATGTGTTAGGACTGCAATTCCCAGAATTCCCTATCTTCTTGGCCAGGTTGAAGAAGGCTAAATTTCATGTGCCTATGTAGAAGCAATACAACAAAGAGTTTATAGTCATTCATTAGTTATCCGGTGTTTGCAGGGAAAGCTGTTGTGTATTGTTTAAGAAATTCAGGAAATGCCTGAGTGTACAATTCCCCAGCAATAAATGACTTTTCTTTGTCTATCCCAGTGTTTTTCTAACTTGGCAATTTTAAGAGGTGTGGACTTCAACTCCCAGAATTCCCTAGCCGTCTTAAAGTTGCCAAGTTTGAGAAACACTGCTCTATCCCTATTCATGCTTTGTGTTTGTAGCTTCAAGCTTTCCGCCTTTGCTCATGTTCTATGCCACCAAAGAAATAATTCACACGCAGTATGAAATATTTCCTTTCCATTACGATAATACTCTTAGAGGTATTCACTGAAGATATACGCCAATGAACTAGCCTCTGGAAGCTAAGAACAACAAATCTTTTGCTAGTTAAAACCTATAACAGGATTGGCTAAAGCTCCTAAGCTTAAGAGCCTCTTATCACAATTTCCATATGGCTGTGAGCCAAACACTACACAGATTCTGTTCTTTCCCCCTCATCTTCTCTCCACTCTCAAGAATTAAATCAATAGACTTGTCCCTTCTCTCTCAACAGCTTTATCCATAAAGCCCTAGTTCCCTTCATAACTTCCACTCAAACTTTCCAGTAACCTTCCCCAAATCTCCCTCTATGTTTCCTCTTCCTTGTGGCCCACCATTGGCTTTCCTTTTTTTCTCAATTCCTCCTTCAGTTTCCACAGACCCCTTACACATTTTCACTAATACTATCAAATGCAACCTTCTACTGCTTTTTATTCTAATGGCAATGTTTTTGGCCATGACTTAGAAAAGAAACAAACATTTTATTCTCTGTGTATTAAGTAAAACAATGGAAACAAAACATGTCTCTATCAACAATGCCCAGGTCCCATTCCTACTGCTACACAACACTGTTCCATTTGTATACTCACCCACACCTAGCATGAATTAATAAATTAGCGACTTACACAGCTTTCCAACATGCAAAGCGTTTGGATCGATTTTTTACTTCAGTACTAATTAATGAGTTTTCAACATTTTACAGCTACTAACATTTGAACAACTGTTAGTACCATAAGCCCCCTCTTATACTGTTTTCAAATACATTTATTCAATAGAAAAGGGCAATTGCAAATCACAGTCAGCCTGCTGCTTGTAATGAGTGAATACAATATTGACCATTTATTATTAATCTGGGATCAGGGATGTTTCCTGATGTTTGTTTTGTGCCTTTGAGTCAGTCTTGACTCCTGATGGCTGCATGGTCAAGCCCTGCAATTTTCTTGGCACATTTTTGGAAATGGTTTCCCATTGTCCTTTTCCTAAGGCAGAGATGGAGTGACTGGTCCAAAGTCAACCAACTGGCTTTGGGCCTAAGGCAGGACCAGAACTCACAGTGTCCTGCTTTCTAAACTGGAGCTTTTAACGGCTACACCAAACTGGCTTGCTGTGTGATAGCTATATATAAAAAAAGCTGGTAAAAAAGGCAAAAAGTTTATACAATCTGAAGAGAAACCAGAGAAAGAGACTTGGTTGAAGGGAAAGAAATTTAGGGCGATATGTGGCACTTGCTTTATTTTGGGCAGCTGTATAGCCTGCTAACCCAGGACTTTGGAACTTAGCAACTTTTTTACAGGAGAAATTTGCTCATTTATGGCTCATTCTTCTCTTAATTCTATGTGCATATGCATCTATGTGCATGCAGGCGCACACATAAATACATGCAATATATAGGGATTTTTGTACTTTATCTTACATGTGACTAATCAGTGTCTAGCCTTCTCTTCTCATTGTGTTTCTGCCTTCTGTCCAATGAACAAACATCTTCATCTTAGCTTCCTTTTCACTAAATCCTCTGAACTCTGCAGCCACTGAGTTTAATTAGGGGGAAAAAAGAATTCCCTACTAAACCATACCACAGTAGTTATTCTGATTACTTGATGGACACATCCATGTTTTATTGGCAGTGTGAAGTGATTTGCCACTGTCTTCTTCTGGCAGTTTTGTCGGTTATAGACCTGATATTCTCTACAAGAAAGCTTCCTTTAAATAGTAAAAACAAACTTATTTTAAGCTAATTCACCCTTCAAAGTTCCATGCAACTCATGCCTTTATAGTTTAAAACAGACATACTAGGCAATTTAAATTTTAATTCTTTTGAATATGCTCATCAGTTTTCACGGTTCTGTTGGTTTCCTGTCTAACTATGTACATTCAGCAGCTGAAAACCTTGTAGAATATCATATTAAGAGGTATGGGATTTTATTATGCAACATGTAAGACTGCCTTACTGAGATAATGCATTATTGATTTGACTTGAACAGGATGAATAGGGTTTTTTTTTTAATCTTCCTATACAAATACAGAGCATACTTGA